ATTTTCTGTAATCTATCTTCCGTCAAGTTTGAAGACTTGGCTTCATGGCTAATGATAGCCTTTGTACTCTCTCGTGAGGTTCCTGTTATTTTTCAAAAGGTCACACTTCTTCGTCTTTGACAAACTATCATGTATTTAAATTTCAATTTTATCAGTGATTTTTGTTACTGTAATAGTGAGACGGATTATGGACAACCCCTGTCCATAAATTGACAAACTGGCCTTTAATGTAACCTTGTGCTTTAGCTACTGTCTCTATTTGTACCATTGGCAATTTTTCATGCTCATGCATAAGGGTATATGTTTTATTAGTTTTAGTTTATTTTGTAAACGCTATGTCTCCTGGGCATGACGTTGCTTTTAAGCTCCACATAAAAAATATTAAATATGTCAGTTTATATTTTTTGGATTGTTAAATTTAAGATCATAAACTTATGTAAGCATTATAAATCTCATGAGTTATGACTTGTTGGTGGGTTTAGATTATTGGTTTGCACAGTATGATAGGTTAGAATTGGTAATAATATCAGCACTATTGCAATGTAAATACATGATCTTAGCAACTTACTGTAGATGGAGCCAAACATGTCTTGAGTGCAGCTTGCATAACAGATGTAGATTTGTGACATACTTGAATGATCATCTGTAATGCACTTTTAGTGTTTTGTTAAGTGAAAATTCTTGTTGAGTTGCTTATTCTGGACTTTTTGGTCTCTTCCTTTTATCCTCTTCTTTTACCATTTGAGCAAGTTATGACTTTGAATGTTGATATTGCAACAGGTGTCTAAATTGCTTGCTGTAATGTATGTAGTTTCTGCCTCAAGTGAGCAATTTTCTCTGTCATCTTTTAGCAAAGTTTTGGGTGAAAATTGTTGGGCTTCATATTTCCACCAAGCTTCAATTGGAACTCACCTTACTTATCAGTTTCTTTCACATCTATCTGGGAGATACAAGGTACAACCCCCTCTTGATGATGAAGCATATATTCATGCTTATAAACATAAGGAATTTATCCATGGATTCTATTTTATATGTTAACCTTTGAAAAATAAAAACACCGATTGTTGGTTTGGCAGTTTGAAATTTCTCGTGAATTTGTGCTCATCATTATCCATATTTTTCAGAAAACTGCTACCCTTTCACTGTGTCTTTGATGCTTAATTAATGGTCCAGCCTAGATGGTACTAGAACTCTACTTGATGTTTTGGAAACTTGAGCAATTTCTTAGTGAACCAAAAGAGTGATTACTCAACCGTGGTTCAACTCATGCTCAACTGTGGGTTTAAAAATGCATTTATAATGAATGGTTGACATACTATCTGACATTAAAATTATGAATGTAGAAATTTTACATTTCAGAATAGGACTTCATACGCAATGGTCAATGCCCACAATGTAAGAGGCCATAATTATCTAACCCAACTGGTTTGTGGCAAGCAAACACAGCGAAATGGAACTGTTTTTATAGTGGCTGGGGCTGATTGAACTGGCCTTTGGATGGGTCCCGGGTTTCCTTTTTTCAGAGTTGCTAGTCAACTCTGGTTCTCAGCACAAAACTTATGCTTTTTATAGGAGCTGTTATGATCCCTTTTTATGCCCCTCCACCTCCATTCTTGCCTGGCAGACACTGTAGTTGTATATAGAGTTAGGATCCTTTGATAACATTGTTATTCAAATTCAACATTATACAAGTAAATAATGTTTTACAGAATAAAGTTCTTGTTAAATCAGACTATTGGATAAAATAAATGGGCTGAAGCAATAGACAATTAGAACTGTGTGTGGTGTCTGTAAACCCACAACTAATAAGTAGCCCAATAACTGAAATTATTTACTAAGAGCAAATTCTTGTTCATGGGCCTTTCCAAGAGATTTAACACAATAAACACTCATGAACAAAATTTTAAAACATGCATTTGGCCTACAAAATACAGGTGTTAACAGACACACACACACAAGTGCTGTTTGTCAAAAATAATACCGGCACAATGATGAGTATGATTTTTCATTTCTCTTTCAATGTCATTTGCTGCTTTTGTGGTATGTGACAAGCACAGCCCAATTCGTTAATGACAAAAGTCAAATTTTAGGGTTCATATGTTACTGGATCTTCTTGCATCGGAGAAGGCACAGTCAACTTACTCAGGTAACAACTATTTTTATTTTATAATAAAGCAAATAATCAATTAACATGCATCCTGAAGCAATGCTTTGTCTGTTTGGTTTCCTGTTGTAGGCCTGTACCGGAAACCTCTGTAGATCTAGCAGAATATGTAAAAAAGTTTTTGGCTGGTCTTCCATCTACAACAATCATCAGTATAAGTTTGCTTGGGCGTGATTATACTGGTTTACTACAGGAGTTGTTGCTTTATCCTACATGTGTTCAAGCATGGATGCTGGTGTCCCGACTGAGTTTTAAGAGCGAACCTATTGTAATGTTACTGCCACTGGATTATACTTTACAAGGTAGCTAGCTCATGTAGTACACAGAATATCTCTTATAAATATTAGCATTTTAAGGTTTAACAATGCAACTTGTGACTTTACTTCATCAGCTTCAGATGAAGATGATTTAAGTATTGGTTCAGGCACACTTCCTAGTTGTGAGAAACCTAGCAACACCTGGCATTGTCCATGGGGTTTTACAGTGGTTGATGATGTAGCTCCAGCATTCAAAACAATTTTGGAAGGGAATTACTTGTCTTCAACATCCAAATTTGAAGATACACCACACAATAGGATGTTATGGTGGAAGCGGAGAAAAAACCTTGATCACAGTCTTGATAAATTGCTGAGGTGCACTACCTCTATGATTTAATGAGTCGATTTGTATGAACTTTGATTTAAGAATAAGTTTCTTACTACTATGCATATTCTGCATACATCTTTTCTCCATAGTTGAACATGTACTAAACAAGACAGTCACCTTTTCTATTCTTCATTAAGGAATTCTTAAAAATTAAATAGTGGTATGCGCAATGATAACATTGACATGAATAGAATTAGTTTTGAACTTTTAGAAACTAATTACTAGCTCTCCTTCTACAATTGGCATACCTTATCAGGAACCTTGAAGATTCATGGTTTGGTTCATGGAAATGCTTGCTTCTTGGAAAATTGTTGAACTGCAAGAATTTTGACTCAGTGCTTAAGAATCTTATGAATGATCTAAGATCTAAATGCAAATTAGATGTAAATGAGGATCTTGTTAGAGTTCTTCTTGGAGGCTCCAAATATATGTGTGAGGGGGAAATGCTGGTTTCACAGCTATGCTTAAAGAAAGATTGCTACATTGCTCAAGTAGGTTATTGTGATGAAGCAAGGAGTGGGATATTGTCAAATGCAGCCAATGGATTTGGAATGTCATCTGAGGTTGCTTTTGATCTATTAAGTGAAGCACTAAATGTGCTGGAAGTGGATGACTCTGTAAATAGAGAGCCAATAATTCTTGTGTTGGATTATGAAGTGCAGGTAACTTAAGTGTTTCTGACTTTTTATCATGTACTCTTGTATGATTTGGAATACATTTAGTCAAATCTTTGCACTTTTTTTTAAATTCGTTACCTGTGTGAAATTGTGTTTTGGTTTCATTTCTTTTAGATTTAATTAATTGATATATGTTGTCTATAACTGATACTCCAGGCAGAAATATTTTCAATAGAAATAATCTGATTGTTTATTTTTAATTCCATAAATTCTTGATTGATACTCATCCTTTGACAGTTACATTGTGGCTCTCACTTAAAAGAAAAAGATAACTGCAAGGAAATAATTTTTTAGCTATTTTTTCAAAAATCTACTTTGTCTAAACCTGTACCCCTATTGTATTTTTAATACTTATCCTTAAATATCAACTTCAATAACAAGGTCTACAATTGTGGCAGATGCTTCCTTGGGAAAATTTGCCCATACTAAGAAACCATGAGGTTTATCGCATGCCCTCAGTTAGCAGCATCTGTGCTGTTCTTGATAATAAAGCCAGCAGCCACCAGGAGCAAGTGGAAAGGAATTTAGTGCCCTTTCCTGCTATAGATCCACTGGATGCTTTCTATTTATTAAATCCAGATGGTGATCTCTCTGACACTCAAATTGCATTTGAAGATTGGTTTAGAGATAAAAACCTGGAGGTATGTTAGCAGTTTGATTTTGATAATACTAGGGAATTATTGTTCAATGTTTTGTATTCCTGCTAATTGTTTTATCTATGTTTTTAAATGTTTATGTCTTCTTTTCTTACATCCTTACAGGGAAAGGCAGGTTCCAAGCCCACCATCGTAGAACTGGCTTCAGCATTGAAAAGTCATGACCTTTTTATATATTTTGGTCATGGAAGTGGTAAAGCTTGATTAAATATCTTACATAACATATGATATCATATATTTATCATTCTATTGGATCATATATTTTGTTACTTAACAAGTATATTTATGATATCATTCTATTGGGTCATATATTTATTTATCATACTATTGGCTTCACAGGATCACAGTATATTCCCAGGCATGAGATTCAGAAACTAGAGAATTGTGCTGCTACGCTTCTGATGGGGTGCAGTAGTGGTTCATTGACCTTAAATGGGAGCTATGCACCGCAAGGTGTGCCCTTGTCATATCTGCTGGCTGGTTCTCCAGCCATTGTTGCCAACCTGTGGGAAGTTACAGACAAGGATATAGATCGATTTGGTAAGGCTATGTTTGATGCATGGTTGAAAGAAAGATCAGATATTCCAACGGAATGCTTGCAATGCAAGTTATTGTCAGAAGAATTTGAGGCCCTGAACTTGAAAGGCGGCAAGGGTAAAGCAAAAAGGAAAGTTCCAAAGAAGAAATTGCAAGAGTTGGCTGAAACTGGTTCACATAATTGTTGTCACAGACGCAAAATTGGAGCTTTCATGGGCAAGGCACGTAGTGTTTGCACCCTTCCTTTCTTGACAGGGGCATCACCAGTATGCTATGGTGTCCCTACTGGAATTTGGAGGAAAAAGAATGTTTAGCCTGACCAAGTCAACAAGAGAGTTCATCTATGCTACATGGCTCAATCCCCAACAATTATTGGGAAGAACTAAAAGCTAGAATCCCACAATTCAGCTGACCAAACAACAATCATACAATACTGACTTCTAACTGTCCATAGAATTGATTTTTTTAGGTGCTATTGGAATGTGAACAAAATAGTGAAAGTACAGTACCCTTTCATATGAAAAAAGCCTTTACTATAAGTAAGATTGATATTATTGTACATGTGATCATTGTATGGCCATAAGATTAGAAAGTTCCATGTTCCTGGTGAACCCCACTCTAGTCATTATGATATTTCAAACACCTTAAAATCTGCCTTGTGTATGCATAACCTTGAGTTCTTCAAATAATACTTTTGATAGAGGCTTGTCAATGATCCTTTTCTTACCACCTCAAGGAAGATAAACAACCTATTATTGTCCTCAAAAAATGAAAAATATAAATATAAATACAAATAACAAAGAAAAGTTGAAACCTGTTGTAGAAAGATTATTCTGCAATTGTATGAAACTTGTTTTTCATATGACAAACTTGTTAAGTTCTATGTGGGTTGAACGAGTTAATTTGTTGGCATGCCTTTTTTAATAAAAATATTATTCTGCAATCATTTGAAAGGTCCACAAAGACTATTTGAACTTTTTATCAAATATAATATCTAAGAAAATATTTTTTTCTTAGATTCATACATTATTCCTCTTCCATCATATACGGGTGGAAACAGGTCAGGCCAGGCCAGACAGACTTTGCCTTAAACATGCCCAGCCTATATAGCACATAGACGCCTGAGCCTGACCTTTTTAAAAGTCTGGTCTGGTCTGTTAGTCTGTTTAAAGGCATGCTAAGATAAACAAATTAAAAAAAATTAAAAAATTAAAAAAATATTAACAAACTAGAAAAAATTATTATAATTATAGCAATTAGTGTGAATTTTTTTACATTGTTATCACAATTATTTCCATCATCTTCCAATATTATGTAATGTATTCGAATGATTTTTGGTGCATTTGAGGTTAGAATATACAAAACAATGTCTTTTAATATCATAATAAAATATGATATTGTTCTAATATTTAACATGAGTATGTACTTAAGCTCAAGTCTCAACAATTAAATATCCAATTATTAAATAGCTTAATCTCTAAGTCCTAGTGGATTTACATAATTTTTTTTATTTAGTTTTTTGAACATATTATAAAAATAATTTATAAATATATAATAACATTAATATGCCGACCTGTTAGACTTAATAAACTTTTTAAAAGGCCTGAACCTGACCTATTTCGGTTAAATAAGCTTTTGGAGAAGCCTAAGCATGACCTGTTTACTAAAAAGACCTGACCTGTTATTGGCCAGGTAATAGGCCCCTGATAGGCGGCCTGACCTGTTTCCACCTTTAATAGTTGGAATAAAACCTGAAACAGATTGGGCCTTAGCATTGTGAAAACATCCTTATTGGGCTCTGTAGGTCCATCAAACGTGTTCTAATAACGTTGCTGAGAGCGGGAAACCCAAAATCCGAAAACACTCAAAACCTCACTCACGGAGAGACGAAAATGAGACCCACGCGCCGGCAACCCAAAGACTCGTTCATCCCACCACCCACTCCCCCCGACTTCCACCACCACCAAAACCACCAGTTCCGCGACTCTGACGCCAGTTTCGCCAGCAGCCGGCCTTCCTCCGCCGGCGTAGGCCCTCGCTCAACCTCGTTCGACCTATACAAAGAGCGTTCTTTCCAACAATCAGCAGTTTCTTCAATAAACTCTTTCCTCTCTTCTCATAACTTCCCAATCAGTTTCAAATCCACTTTCCCTTCCGCCAAAGACATTCACGAAACCCTCAGATTCATCCTTCTTGATCTCCTCAACTTCCGTTTCAACAAACTCGAAGACGATCTTCCTCTTCTTCTCAAACGCCTCAATTATCCTTTCAAATTGAACAAATCCATTCTCAAATCCCCCGCTGCCCCTCACCAATGGCCTACTTTCCTTGCTCTTATCCATTGGCTCATTCAAATTGCCAAATTCGATCATCACCTCTCTTCTTCCACCAACACCATGTCCTCTATGGTTCAAACTAATCTCCTTCATCAGTACACTGTTAACAGTTATATCCGATTTATTAACGGCGATGATGACGCCGTTGATGAGTTGGATCACAATGTTAGGGCTGATTTGGTGCACCAGAGAGAGATTGCTGAAGAGAAGGTTAAGGCTGCTGTTGACGAGGTCAACAGATTGGAGGCGGAGCTCGAGAGGATGAAAACTGAGCCTTCACGGAAAGAGGCATTGGAGAAGGAGAAGGTTTTGTTGGAGGATGATGTGAACAAGTTTCATAAGATAATTGAGGAATTCACTTCTCGGATTGAGCAGACGGAGAAGGCTATATTGGAAAAGGGGAAGGAGGTGGATGCGAAGATGGAGGAGAATGGGAGGATAAGTGAGGAGAATGAGGAGATAAGGAGGAGGGTGGAGGCGCAGACGTTTAACGCGAGGGATGTGGAGAGGATGAAGAGGGAGTTGCAGGCGGTTGAGAGGGATATTGGTGAGGCTGAGCTTGCTAGGAATGCCTGGGAGGATAAGTCATGGGACCTTGATACAAGCCTTGGTCATAAGTTCAAGGATCTAGAGGCCCTTGCAATGGATTGCAATCAATCCTTAAAGAGGTCAATTTTATGCATTTATAACATGTTATAGTGAAAGGCGTTTGGAAAAGCTTATACAGCTTATTTGGGCTTCTCTTTTCATGTAGGCAAGCAATTATGTAGGTGTTTAACTTGTCATTATCATATAAAGAGCTTATGACATTCATATAATGATATGCAGGGTTTTATCATAGTGCTAATATTGTTGAAATGAAGTAAACTTTTCTGTTAGGCATCTCTAGAATTAAGGAAGCATTGGGGTAAATAGTTTAATTAAGCACTTATTATGTGAGAGCTTATGTGTGTGTGTGTTGGTAAATAGTTTATTCAAGAAGACTTTCTTAAATAAGCTGAAAAGAGCTTACCATCTTAAGCTTCTTTGATAAGCTTTTTGGATTAACCTAAAAGACTTATAGGAATGTTATAAGCTATTTTCATAAGCTTCTCTTGAAAGTTATTCCCGCAAGTCTGAATATGTTTTCTGCAAGTTCACCCAAATTCCCCTTTTTATGAGAGCTTATAGGAAGGTCATAAGCTCTTCTAAAAAGTTTAAAATGTGTGTTTATATGATATAAAATTAGACCAGATGAGATCTTTATAAGCTCTTTGAAATGCCCCTTAATTCTAAAATGAATATCCTCTGTTTCTCACAAAAAGCAATCTTCGTGTTTCTAGGCTGAAGATTGGTAATGGTATTCAGTATCAGTTGAATTCCAATGGCACTACTCCAGCTGAGATAATGGGTATTGATCACAAGTTGACACTGAAGCCTGCACTTAACTCCTTTGTTGATGACATCCAGAAGAGTTCAATGGGGAAATCAGAAGAATTGATTTCCTATCAGCAAAAGCTCAATGAAATTGTTGTTAGGCTTGAGGAAAAAAGAAATCATATTGCTGCAGTGCAGTCAAGCATCGATGAAGTGAGTACATCTTTTTGAAGGCTTCATAAAATGATGTCGATCTGTATGCTTTAGCTATGTCTACCATGCAGCGCCCAAGTCTTGATTTTAACTTTATGTTTAAGTGCTTAAATAGGTTAAAGTTTTGATCTGGATAGATGATTGACAATTTGACATTGATAATAATGAACTTCATATTTTCCAAGAAATTTAGAGAACTGTTCTATTACAAAGTTAAAATACTAGTAAAGTTCAAATGACAGGCCGGATTTTAAAATTAGGTGGTGGTGCTGGTATGAAGGAATTAGAATGTCGGAGCTGGTGAGAGGTCAGCCTTGTTGCATTGAGGGCAGTGTTTGTTATTATATGTTATAACCTTTATGGACCCGCATATTTTACTGGTCTTTAGCTAGTAACCACTTATCATGTGTATTTATTCATTAAGATTATTTGGTTTTTTCTTCTAATTTAAATCACTCATCTTATTTGTACCATAACTTAAGTATGACTCCATGCCTGGTCACTGTTGAATAATCAGTAGCGGGAAGATGGTCCAGTCATATACACTGTTTAACATGGAGAATATCATACTCATGCCTGTTTAACATGGAGAATATCATTATGTGACCAAAAAAATATACACAGTTAAATATTAATGGTAGAATCCTGAACTGTATTGATGATAGTCATGCACAGTTGCACACTTATACTGCGACTTTCTTTCTTCCTTTTATCCAGCAATATTTTTTTACATTCTTCATGGGAGTTAGAAGAGTATTAGAAACAGAAATCTTCTTGCCCTGTGACTAACTTTCTTCTTCTGCTGCTTGTTGATTTATCCACCAGATGGAAGCTCAACTGAACATGAAAAAGAAGGAAGCACAAGACTACAGAAGTAGATGTTCTGCTGAAGCTAAGACAATGTTGGAGGATGTCCAAGTAGCAGTGAATGACTTGAACATTATGGAAAGAGAGGCAGCTGATGTTCTAAAGGTAATTCCTTGGTTATTTATTTCTTCAATAATCAATTGAATCCAACATGCTAAGAATTTGTGTCTTTTCTTTATCTCTTGTGTTTTAACCAATTTGGAGATGTATACTAAACTAAAGAAAGTTCCATATTAATCCATTAATTTCACATGACTAAAAAGTTAATTTTTTATTAATTCTTATGTAACAAGCCACCCATTTTTTAAGATGTGTTTCAATTAGTTTTTTTAGGTTCACATTGCATGTAGTGCACATATGCCTGATTTCTACTATGCATTTTAAGCACACTGGTTGCTCTAGTCTTTTACTTTTACAGCTTCTATGTTATGTTTCCCTATTTTATGGTCTATGTGCAACTTCTAGCTGACTCAAAAGCCTTCAACAATCCAAAATAACTATCCCCTAGCCTTAGCAACATGGAAAATTCATTCTGAAACACGTACCTTCATTTTTTATTTTCTGAAATCAGCATACATTCAAAATGGACACATGGGAGGTTTTTCTTTCTTCAGTAACATGGATTTTTAACCTCTTGGTTAGAACCTAAAGCTAATAACCTTATTTAAGTCATAATGTTGTTTCTAATAAAGCTGCTATATTTTTGTCAAGGCCTCTGAATTGAAGCTGCGAGAAGCAATTAAACAAAGTGAGGAAGAAATTCAAATGTGTGCTCAAGAACTCTTTAAGTTGGTTGATTCAGTCTCAAAGTTCAAAGAACATGTGGGTTCCAAAATTTCTGAGATGAACAAGACACTTTTGGAAACTGCAACTGCTGTCTCAGATGCATATAAGGGTTCATTCTCAGCTCATTTTGGTGATATATTCAATACAAACCGCCAACCAGAGAAAACAAATTAAGCATTTTGAGCTAGAATTGACCAAATTCAGCCAGATTTAAGAGTAGTTGCTTGGTGTAATATACTAGTAGGGATCACTTGACCCTATCAAAATTTCTAGCTAAAGTATGTGGTTGACTAGTA